TATTATTTATGATTTTAATAGAATAGGTTCTTTGAATTATAAACCTTAACAAGATGCGATTTCGTGACGCTATCACTTTACGTGTTGTTTCTTATGAACTGTTTTCTGTACTATAGACCGTTCCTGTTTAGTTCTTCACAAACTTCAGAGATAAAAACGAAACTTTTGATTTTTCTTCCTTCTGTACACGACTAACTGTTAAAGTGAGCAACTCATTAATATAAGAAGTTAGGTTACTGGCGCGTGTCTAATACGGACAATTAGTTTATCAACGAAACACGCTATCGGAAATTCCAAAATCTTTTCGCTGATCATATCGTTCTAGTCGACCGGAAGAAGGTATACCGTTTGACAAGAATTGTTCGTTAGATCTTGCATATGTTTAATGAGACGTAAAAGGCGCTTGGCAACTGTGTTTATTCATTCTTTATTATCAAAAAAATATATATATGCAGATCATAATTTATAACCTTATTATACTTGCTCCTTCCTTCCTAACAAAGCATGCATTTTTTATGTTGAGAGAAAATTCTTTAATATACGATCAACTCACTCGTGTATGTGTGTGTTGCAGGACGTATCAAGAACACAGAGCCGTTGTCATGGGAACAAAATCCAACCTATGTGTTGTCGGTGGTAGCATATGACTGTGGAATGAAAAGATCAGAACCCACGACAGTCAATATCAAAGTAAACAAAGTCTGCCACTTGGGATGGAAAGGTAAGTTAACATTGATCATATAAAATACATTGTAAGTGCCTTGCCTTTTACTATTTTTAATGGATTTCAACTCAACCACAGACGGTAATAGACAATGTAGAATGAACAATAAAATTTCAATGCGGTCGCTTTCAAATAAGACAAAATCTACCCGATAAGACAAATTTAGCTGATTTTGGATCTGACTTTTTACATTTAAAAAATAACGGCTTTATTTATTTCTTATACCTTACGCTTTCCCATGTTATAAGCTGTGGGGTGTCAGTCAATCCTCTTAGCGTGTATGGTGGGTGTTAGGGTGCTGCTGACTGCGATGCCGTCCCTCTGGTCAGTAGTTCAATATTAGGGACAATGCAAATTGCCTTGGTAGCTTTGCCACAAATACAAATTAAATACAAACTGATAATTACAAATAACGTGTATAGCGCCCTCTCTATTAAAACTAAGAAACAACCTCTCACTGGAAGTTTAAAAATAAATTGTTTGCTGAAACACTATTTTTAAATACCCTAATTTTTTGCAGTATTCGACTATAGTGGATGATATGAAGTTCTGTTTATTTATTTCAAATTAGCAACGGTTATTAAAGACGCGTGCGAGGTAAAGGGTGGTATAGTTCATTTTAGGCATTATGGGATACAATCTTACGTATCCATTCAACGAACTGGGAAGATATAGAAGCCTAGATCCGAACACCAGCCCCCCCCCCCCCTCTGTCACTCATTTGGATTTGTTGGCAATCGATTCAGATAGTTCGTCAATTATAAGCAGACATCCACAAATACAGAGACATTTCTCAAATAATGGTTTGGATGTTTCGAAATGATCCCTTGCACTTTAAAGCGTTTTTTTTTTTGGTGTGTTCGTGTCCGTTACATAGTTAAAAGGTCAAGTGCTGGAGAATGGTGACGTTGAATAAGTTCATTAATTGTTCAACCAGTTTAGTCGGCTCATGGCTTTAAATACCAGTGCAACAGTTTGAAAAGGTAAGTAGAATCTTGGCCAATACTGCGGTTCAGCATTCGTCCTAGTGGGTGAGTTTTAAACTAAATATATCATATTATTAGAATAAAACTATGCCTAACTTATGTGCGAGCAGTGCTATTTCTTCATTGATGTCGAAAACATTATTTAGGAAAAATATACAGAATTTATTTCACTTGCGCGAAATAAAAAAAGGATAATAAAAAAAGCATCATGAAACATAGATCTACAAACTTCATATAAGTTTTACGGAAAAAATAATTAACGATGTCATTATTTTCTTCCGCTATATGACTAATGACTTTTTTTCAAATCTTTATACCTCAGGTGGTAAGTCATATATTTCTATCACTATTTTCTTTCATTTTACACACTTAAAAAAAGGGGTCTTAGTATAACTCGTACGTTAAAATATCGTTTCTTTCGGCTTAAGACATGAAATTGTTCACTTAGCTCGCTAGACCTTGTAGTTAAAATATTGTTACGTCTCCGTTCGTTAATTGATTTTCCGTAACTTCGTTCCGACGAAACTTTAGCGACACAAGTCCTTACTTAATAAAACTGGTTTATTCTTTCTGAATACAACTTTAAGATACACTCAACTTCAACAGTTGCGCTATAACAAACTATAATTCACGTCGCACGAGCTCGACTTCAATAATACGTCTCTGTCTGACTGCAGTTCAATTACTCATTACCTACACACACATTGTTCCGTCACGTTGTCACCCTCTTATATATATACCAGACTACCCTATATCTAGTAATCTCCAGACTATTCCCGAAGGTTCGAGAGAAGTGGCGTGACACTAGTCACGTGACCTCGCTGACACAACACTGCCCCCTCCTTAGCATTGTTCGTCCCGAACAATAGCCACTTACAATAAACCAATAACAATTAACAATAACTT